GATATTCCTTCAAGACCAAGAGGGAGATTTTATTAGAACGTCTGAGTATGATATAAACGAAAGCACGCACACACACACACACACACACACACACACATACTGCAAAGAAGTCCCACTACCCAACCAAATTACAACACCTGAAGCAGACCAACATCAGTCAATGGTATGGTAAGCTTAAAGAACTCTGTGGACTAAACAATATGACACACCCCCTCCCCTTCCTTAGCCATCTCACTAATGTTGACGCAGCTGAGCAAACAAATAACCATTTCGCTACTATATGCCAGACGCTCCCACGGCTTGACACAACCACTCTCCCTGCTTACCTACCAGCCCCCCTTCCCACTGACTTAGTAGAAGAATTTGACGTAGCAAAACGCCTGGACAAACTAAAATTAAAACGCTCTACCACCCCCATTGACTTACCAATGAAACTATTCAAGGAGTTCTCCCCGGAGCTTGCTAAACCCCTCTGCTCCATCATCAATGCTTCTCTCAGTCAAGCCAGATGCCCAGCTGACTGGAAGACCTCTTATGTATCACCAGTGCCCAAGTCAACCAGCCCACAATCCTTAAATCAGCTACGACCTATTGCAATCACCCCAATACCCAGCCTAATCTGTGAAAGTTTTGTGTTTGACTGGGCTTATGCTGATATTGCAGGAGTCGTAGACCCTCAGCAATTTGGCAACATGAAAACTTCCTCCACCACTCACTGTCTTGTCAGCTTTCTCGATTACATATACCGCCATCTCGAGAAACGAAAAACGTCTGTAGCTGTCGCCTTCATTGATTTCACTAAAGCGTTCGACCTAGTCGACCACAATATAATCATAAACAAAGCTATTGACCTCGGGCTTCGGAGAAGTCTCATACCATGGCTTACAGACTTCCTCAGTGACCGACGCCAAGCTGTACGCTTCCGAGGGGCTGTCTCCACCTTTCAGTCACTCACCTGTGGCGTCCCCCAAGGCACCAAGATGGGACCACTCTGCTTCCTTATGCTCATCAATGATGCCCTAAGAGAAACCCCTGCTCGCTGGAAATATGTCGACGACTCCACCATTGGGATCAGCGTCAACAATTCTGCTCCCAACTATACCGCCCTTCAGGATCTATTGAACAGTCTCCAAAACTGGGCCACCAACAACCATGTCACCATCAACCATACCAAGACAATGGTTATGCACATCAACCTCTCCTCCGACATTGTCCCACCTCCTTCCATTACCCTAGGTCCGAACACACTCCAGGTTGTAGATTCCACGAAGCTCCTCGGCGTCACCATAGACAACAAACTAAATTGGAAACCACACGTCAGTGAAGTTGTCAAATCCTCCAGTTTCCGTCTCCACCTCCTCCGCCGACTCAAGTCCCTCGGAGTTCCTGCACACGAGCTCCTCAGTGTATACACAACATTCATACTTCCCAAGCTCACCTATGCCTCCCCCACCTGGTCTTCCTCCCTAAATGCCACACAACGTAAACACCTAGAAAAAGTGCAAAAGAGGGCATGCAAGATTATTCTCTCCCCTTCCTACTCCACATATCAAGAAGCGCTCAACACACTGACCCTTTCGACTCTCACTGACCATCACCACGGCCTCATCTGCAAATTTGGTAAGAAGCTTCTACACCATCCCCGACACCGGCCCCTACTACCACCTGAGATCCCCTGTCCGAGAATTGCTGTTCGACACCACAACCGCATCCAGCCCATACGTGCACGAACTGATCGCTATAAGAACAGCCCAGTCCCAACCATTGTAAAAATTATCAATAACATGTAATAAATCAGTGTATTCACTCCCAGTAAACACTGCTCCCTACACTGTCACTATGTTGAAATGAACTGTATTTTGAGCTGATCCCCATCTAAGTTACTATATGTCTTATTTGTGTCACTTATGTCACTTGTATATTATTTGTAATTCGTAACCCATTCCCCAAATATGTAACTGTATATTTTCAGCCTTCTGGCTGCCAAGCTCTTTCAATAAACCGTTAATTATTATTATTATTATTATTACACACACACGGATTCTCTCTGTCTCCACCCTTCCCCCACCCTCCCCCACCATTCTTCCCCCTACCACCCCCCATCCCCCCACCATCCCCCTCCCCCCAACACAGACCATACGTTGATTGAATTTTGGTTCCAGTTCTACCAAGGCCAAGGGAAGCCATGACCAGACTGATTGACGGCCAGAGCGCGCGAATGAAAATGACTTTCTTTAATAGTATCTGAGCGAGGTTCTTTTTAGGTTAGGTAAGGTTAGCATAGGTGAAGTTAGTTTTGGTTAAATTAGGTTGTCTTACGTTTTTAGGTTAGGTTAGGTGCGGTGAAGTTCGTTTAGATTAAGTTAGGTTTGGTTAGGTAAGGTAATGTTAGTTTAGGTTAAGTTAGGTTTGCATAGGTGAAGTTAGTTTTGGTTAAGTTGGTTTAGATTACGTTCTTAGGTTAGGTTAAGTTAGGTCAAGTTAGGTTAGATTAGATTAGATTACGCTCTTAGGTTAGGTTAAGTTAGGTCAGGTTAGCGTAGTTCATACACTCATCTAACCCGAGGATATGAGTTCCTTAAGGTAAATGACCCAGTGACTCCACCATCTTGATTGTTGTCATCTTCCTTCTTTATATTTTTCTGGTGTTTCCTCAGTTACTTTTTTGAACTATGAGACTGAAAGTAGAACACAAAGGTGACTAACTGCTTTTGTTTGCCCTTGTATTTTATTTGTATTTATTTTTTTAATTCATATATTGTGTATGTTTTGTTTTGTTTCTGTTCATAGCATAGGGGTCGTTATATACATTGAACCTATTGCTACTTATTTTCGTATATAAATAAATAATATGGGCATTCAATATATAGATTAGAATATGGAAAATACACAAGTAAAAATTTAGTCGTATTTTACTTGGAAGAATGAATGAGAAGGAAGAACAAAGACTACATAGAGAAGGAAAATTTAGATTGAGAAAGAATGAAAGAAAATAAAGGAAAAAATAAATGCAAAGTGTGTCCTCAATAGAAGCAGACACGGCAGACGGGAAGGTCAGGTGTCATGAATTTCCAGACGCTCCACCGTGACTGACCTTGATGACATGACAGATAGCATTGATCACTGACAAAAAGAAATATTTACTCACAGGCTGTAAAAACCCCAATTATTACCTCCGATAATGCAATAGTCACTGAGTAATTGTAAGTAACTGTAAATGTTAGATGTCATTAAGTAATACTCATAAAGTATAAGAAATTCCTACAATTACAATTCTGAAGACTAAGCTTACGGTACACAACACAAGAGGGTGCCCGGACGCGAACCCGTGACTCTTCGGACAAGAGACGAGTGGTTGTGTCCACTTAATACCATACCCATCTAAAAAAAGTAAGGTTAGAAACTTTAAATCGATAACCTGTAAAGAACTTTAAATTTTAGCTGCGTAATAATTAATAACATACCTATAACTTAGTCCTAAGTTAACGATAATATTGATATCATACTACATAAGACTTCGTCCATCACAGCCATACATCAGTAACATGACACTGTTGCGTGTCAACACTGTGTCTGTCTGTCTCCTGGGATGAATTTTCCCAACAGACACGACAAAACACGTGTGAGATGGATCAAGATCCACACACGTGTTTGTTTGGCTGCTTGTTTGTATTTTTAACGAAAAACTTATGCATTTAGCATAAACTGCGTGTATAAAACACCGAACACTAATTTATAGATATATTTTTGCTGTCTAATGACTACTGTACTTAAATTAACATTTATTGCAAATTAGAGTCAAAAATAGGCAATTTATTACAATTACATAGTATTTTGTATTGTCACTGCATGGACATAACCGGACAGAGTAGCCATTTATGAAACATCACACAATAAAAGAACAGATTATATCGCAACTTGGCTTTTTATCGAATGATATATATATATATATATATATATATATATATATATATATATATATATATATATATATATATATATATATACAGTACATGTATATGCCAAGTTAAATAGGGAAAATTCGAACTGGTCTGTACAAGGAATGATCACTTAGATGATCATATTCCGAACTATAAATGAATATCATTATTACTAATTCAACTAACCTAAGCTAACCTAACCCAGGTATATCTCGGCTGGGTTATTTCCATTAACTTATAGCCATAAAAACAACAACAAAAAATGCCAGTTACGTTTAAAGCTTTCTGATATGTGTGTGTGTGTGTGTGTGTGTGTGCGCGCGCGCGTGCGTGTGCCTGTGCGTGTGTGTGTGTGAACATATATAATGATTCATGAACTATATCCTCCAACTCACCAATCCTCAAAAACCGTAAGTGCTCTTCCGACAAAACCTTTGCTACATTGTACCTATTCTTCTTGTACAACAATTTTACAGTGTTGCGAATTTCTACCGAAAGGATCAAATAATGGCAACACTGGCACTTCTGATAGAGGTGAAGGCTTCATTATGGATGAAGTTCAATGCTTTGAAGCTGCTCCGTATATTCCTGTCTTTTACGGTATATTTTTCATCAAACCTGAGTTTATCGTGTGAGATATTTAATGGAGAGTTTCAGGTTAACTGGAACGACAGACGACCTCACCTGTACAGTCAACTGGGCAAGGCAGAGACCGTGATGGTGGCACCTCCCTCTGGTTACATAGATGATACACGCGCATGTCCGCCTGGCTACTTAACTGCCTCTGATAATACATCTTAAAATACACTGCATATTTTCTAAGCATCAACTTCAAGGACAACAAATGATGGGGTAGTGGGTGGAGGGGAGTAGGTCGTGAGTGTGGGGTCGCGCATGGCTGAAGACGATGACAATGACCAGATTCAGCAACACTACAGGAGTTTATTCACGTTGCCTAAGTCACGGGAGTCCCAGGGAAGTGCTATGCTGAGTCACCGTTTGCTCAGGGTCACACAGGAGGGTGTGGCGAGACCTGTAGTGTGTCAGGGTATAAAGATAGGAAGCTGTACGACCTGACATCATCCACCGTCAGTCCACCAGCTGAGCAACAACCACCACCACCATGAGGGTTCTGGTGAGTGCTGCGCCTCTCTGTATATTTCGTGCTTCACCTTAACAACATCTCTTACGTATCCGTCCTAATAAGAGAAAATTTCACAAGTGTGGAGAAAATTTTGTCGGATATGAGATACTTTACAATAAGTTCAGATAAGCAGTGATAAAGAGAAGTATTACTTTTACACTTAAGAAAAAATGTTGACATAATAGCACCCGCGTCTTCGAAACTGTTGAATATCCTTAATTTAATAAAATAAAATATTTGAGACCCCAACTTTTAGCTTGTACGTGTTCCCATGACCCCCCCCCCCCTCCCTCCCCGCCCCCCAAAAAGTGATGACTAATTAGTCTTTTCCAACTATATGTATAACGTCTTCGAAATTAGAATAATATTATTGGTTCATGAAATGCTAGAACTCCCCATTGACAGGTGTAGGGTGAGAGGGAGAGTGACAGGTAAGAGTGATAGTATTGCTCTCTCTGGCGCCATATTACTTTCAACTTTCTCATGTATTCAGTGAAAAACACATTGGATTTAAACATTTTAATAGTGGCCATAAACTAATAGGCAGAGAGAATTATTTAAGGAAGAAATAAGAGAGAGATAGCGCCTATCAATGTGTCCTACGTGTACTACTTAACAAAATCTCTCATCTAAGGTTATAAATCTCAAACACATTTTCTTCACCAGGACTCTCGGTTCTCACAAAGGAGTGTTTGTAAAGGATTGTTGTGTTCTACTTAAGACCTGAGTCACTGTTGTGTTTCTACCACAGGTCGTCATTGTACTGTTGGCAGCCGTCGCAGCAGCAGAGCAGCAGAAGCGCGAGGCTGAGCCCTCTTATGGCCTCTCCCACGGCTACGGTGGTCACTCCCACAGTCACTCCCACAGTCACGGCCACAGCCAAAGCTACGGATACGGGGGTTACGGACATGGAGGCTACGGGATAGGGTATGGACATGGTGGCTATGGAATCGGATCTGGATTTGGAGGCATCGGAGGTATCGGTTATGGAGGCTATGGGGGTGTCGGGTATGGAGGCTATGGGGGTGTCGGGTATGGAAATGGTGGCTATGGATATGGTGGTCTAGGGTACGGATATGGCCACAGCATCGGCAAGCGTGAGGCTAAACCCGAGCCCAGCTACGGCTATGGTCACCACGGACACGGTGTTGCTTACCACCCATATGGAGGCGCATCTTACGTGGGACCCAGGTACTATGGCGGACATGGGTACGGTGGCTACGGGGGTTACGGACTCTACGGACAGGGCCATGGTTTCGGACACGGGCATGGCTACGGACGCGGATATGGCTACGGACACGGATATGGCTACGGCCGCTAAGATGCTTATATCGTAAGCATTTCACAAAATCTTCTCACCCTTCACAGCTCACAAAGGTTCTCTCACATGACCAAGAATGTTGTCGTCTCTGAGAAGGTTTGGTTAACAAGTACAATTAATATTTTATTCCTAAGATAAAATAATCAAAAGTCGTATTGATCATCCCACTTCAAAATTTATCTCTTGACTAAAAATTCACCATCATGACCAAATAATATTAAGCATCACAGTTAAATTTTCCGTCTTTGGATCCATTAACTAAATATTCTCAGATGTATTATGTGAATCAGAAATCAGTGGATAAATTATACAGTCAAACCTACGTGTCTGAAATTAAGTTTGACAATAATATACCATAAAGATCTAAATTATCATTGTAGTTGTCAATATTATGATAATTTTGTTTGTTTTTTATTCTTCATCAGAGTTCTGGTTTGTGTGGTACATTAATAGTAGCCGGTTTTTGCACACTGTACCTTATCTTTGTATTAAATTCCTCATGTAAATAAAACTTGAAAAAGATTTAATAGTTTTGATTAGTAATTTTTTGTATCGGATGGACAAGTACTGACCATGAGTAACCTGTGTGTTAATAAATTATGAGGAATGTTTACCTGTTGTTGAGACCTTTATGTTACATTATCGTTACCTGTTATTATGACGCTGACACATAGAGAGAGAGAGAGAGATGGAAGAATAGTACATCAAAATATACTATAAAACAGTACTAGTGAAAACAGTAAAGGAAGTTTTTACATCAGCAAACCAAAAGGAAAATTACTTTCAACTGCATAATTTATTCATAACATTTAACCACTAGAAAAGACCATACACAATGAAGACATCTTTACACATACATCAACCATCAGGTGGTTAATGATGTCACATGCATGCCACAATTTTTTTATGTTCTGCCTAAAAAAATATATTTCATATTGATTTTCCTAATGGACGTGTCGTTGTATTTTTTTGTTCACTGACCTATTTATATATTTTTAAACACATTTGCTATATTAAATTTGTATGAGAATAATTAACTTGATCAACGTTCTGAATTCTCTCCCCGTATGCCCTTATCTTGTCGTTCTCGTTCCTCCTGTGTGCAGCATCGAGAGCTAAGTTACGGTTACATGCGGCCATGGGATCAAAGATCCTGATGTCGAAGAAGGCTCGCTGTCCCCGCGTCCAGAATCTTCGAGCACTGACGTCAACATGGGCTTCGTTGGATGTGTTTGAAGTCCTATGTTGGAAAATCTCACCGTCCAATGGAAGGAGGGTCGGTTCTATCCTGACATCACGGCAGACTTCCTTCAACATATTTGCTGTGAGATCCCTTACTTCGTCATGCCTCATGCATATAAAGCCCCCTTTCTTGCACACCATGGCGTGATCGGCGTCATTGGAAGAGCCACACACGCATTGGGAAGGCAAACCTTCCACTGGCCTACTGTACCTTAGAGCATTGGCATCTGTAAATTCTTGTTTATTGAGACTGAAACCATTTGCCCTTATCGGTAACGTAGTTAACCAGTTCGAGGCGCCCACGTCCTGCGCTATAGCTACTTTTTTTTCAAATTCTCTGGTACTTGCAACAACAGTTGCTCCAACTTATCCCTTTGGCTGTGCTGTCGTTCTGTCGTAATGGACCTTCAAATCTTGTTTACTTCGCTGGTATCCACCTCCCCTGTTACGTTCTGAGCTACTACTACTACAACTACTACTACTACAACTACTACGGTGTAAGATAGACCATAACTTAAATACTGATGATTGTCGACTAAATCACCTGGTGTGTTATTCCTCTCGTGTGCATCTGCCCTTACAAAGAAAAAAAATGGAAAATTGTTGATATAAAGTTCGACCTTGGTGTGGCGTAACGTGTGGGCACCGATGCATTGATAAGGTGTGGGTGTGGCATCGACAACGAGGCAGGGAGTAGTGCTCTTTGGCCTGTCGTAAAAGTTGAAGGAATTTTGATCTCTCTCTCTCTCTCTCTCTCTTTATATATATATATATATATATATATATATATATATATATATATATATATATATATATATATATATATATATATATATATATATATATATATATATATATATATATATATAATTTTTTTTTTGCTGTTTCGATGCGGTGTTGCGACGTAACAAGTGTGTGTGTGTGTGTGTGTGTGTGTGTGACATATAACATCTAAAGCAGGCGTATTCCACGAATGCAAGGTATGCATTGCATGCCTAATAGAAAGCAAAATATACTTTTAAAGAGTATCTTCAATAATACAGATTTAAATTTAACCTTCACAGTTTTCACTCAGGAAAGAAGAGGAGACTCGGTGTCCCTCAATGGACATAAAGACGGTAACCATCCGATCAATAACATGCTAAAATGAACTTTATTGTGTTGGAGCATAAGGAATTTGAGCCATTTTAGTCAAATTTAATACTTTTTGCTCTTAATAAGTATGAAGTCTTATGTTATACGGTGATATTATATTACCTATGAGTTGTTGTTCCATAAGACTGGCTATTTGATAAGGTTTCTGTAAATGTAATGGGTACAAATGCATGTAATTGGGAAAACTGCATTCACTTGTCGAGAGGCTATATCGACCGGCAGCGGCTCTCCGTCAGATGGACAAAACTGGTCCACATTATAATTTTTAATATTTCTAAATAACCCAACAGTCCGCTTTCAGTTATAGTGTTTTTTTTCACTTGGGAAAGTTATTCTGTTTTCTGTTTTACTTGAAATAATAATCGGATAAAATATTTACTAATTATTTAAATGCTCAGCAATAAGATCATTTGCAACTTTACAGAGGGCCAGCCTTGTGCATGACGCCTAGTTATTTTTTAACCACTTTATTTCTAAATTGCTGTAGATCACACTGAAAGCTTAATATTCTTTTGCCGTAAGTATTTTTGCATCCATTATTTAATGATTTATAAGAGATATTTTGTCAGATGCCATTGATATAATTTAAGAAATTAGGTGTTTATAAAAGCTTGACATTTGATAACTGATATATGTGGGTGTTCTGTATACCTCATCAGTGCAACCACGGTCCGCCACTGATCTAAAGCCATTAAATAAACTCATTACGATAATCTGTGATGATTTGTATCTGGTCAAAGGAGAACCAGAGACTAAACAACATTGAGTGGGAGAAGACATCATTATTTACCGTACGTACACTGATCCTCTGTCATCACTAGGTATCGGTTCTCTGGTGATGAGTTATGAGGAAGAAAGTAGTGAGGAAGATAGTAGTGAGGAAAAAAGTTATGAGGAATATAGTAGTGAGGGAAAAAAGTTATGAGGAAGAAAGTTATGAGGGAAAATGTTGAGGAAAAAAGATCACATGAAACTTACGAGACTCTGTAACAATAAAGCGTCGTCTCTCACAGGCTAGTCACCACCACCCTCATCACTGCAGCTCATCGTAATACAGTAACTTGGGATAATTATCACTACGCAGTTATGATTGAAGATGGCGATGACTGTTTCCTTGTCAACTCGAACTAATACCTAACCTAACCTAACCTACCGGATCTTTATTTATTTATTTATTTTTTACGTGTTTAAAAGTCGTTTCAAAATTTCCAAATTGACATGACACTACTTTTTAGGCTTATAAACAACACACACACACACACGCACACACACACACACACACACACACACACACACACACACACTCATATCAAGTACCTGGTGTCTACACTCAATCAACAAACACTCTCCTCTTTACAGCTATACGGGACTGGAAAAATTTGCCTAACTACATTAAAACCAGAAATGTTTGTTAAGATACTCAAAGCTAAAAACTAAAAGATCGCCATAAACAATGAAGCCATAATGATAGAAGAGAGTAATTTCCTATACTATTTACCATACTAGGTTGTACAGTTGAAGTGCTCCATCTGGTTTGGACAGTATGATTGCAGTGTAATGTTTATCATAATCATCCACCCAAAAATTTAACTTTTATTCGTGTAGATTTACTGTTACTGCATTGATCAGTAACCAAGCCATGACCCGACCGGTATTGTGTATCTGATATCTTTGTTGGTTAACCTTGGTCGAATTGCCTTCCTGTTTACCATTGTATTTGTAACGGCATCGTCTAAGTATCTTCTTTTCATTTCCCTTTATCCTTCCTCTACCTATCCCATCCCCCGCTGTCTTATTCTTTCCTTTCGTTGTCTCTTCACAGGCTTCCCATTTTTGGTGTAAGTAACGTCATATATTACAGAAAACAAAACATGTATTATTTCTGTTGAAGATTGTTCTTTGGAATATTAATGCCTGTATACAAATACTGGCAAGAACAGTCCTACCAATCAGTTCCCGACACACGAGTAGTGCCACGGTGCCACATGAGCCAGGGAGGCACGGTAGGGTGTCACATCACACCTGCAACCGACTGTACATTGTATATCTGCATTGGCGATGTTTATTCACAACTTTATGCCGTCCTTTGTCTAAATACATGTTGAATAAACAGTAAACTTGTATGTTGATTTTACTAAATATCTTTATCTCTATCTATCTTTTAATTAGCAAAAAAACTCCCTGAATATTCATTATCCATTTACATATATTACGGAAAAACCTCGGAGACATTTCCAGACTAAAATTCGAGAACTGTTTGGTAAAGGTTGCTGGACAAGGGACGGGACGGGTCGCTGTGGGAAGAGACAAGGGAAGCGGGTCTTGTGCGTCGCGTGTGGTGGAAGCCGTGACCAAGACCAACCATCAGCAGCAGCATCACACCTGGTTGACGTAGTGTCACGGTGCATAACCCCACGAGGGTCAAAGGAAAATTATGTTGAGTCATCTAGGTACAGGGTCATGCATAGAGTGTGGAGCGGCCAGGTATATATAGGCGGCTGGTTGTACGGCTCCACATCACCATCCACTGCCAGTCCACCAGCCGAGCTACAACCACCACCATGAGGGTTTTGGTAAGTTATTGGGTTCTCGCAGGTTCTCTTACATCCAGCTTCGTTCTTATCACGTCTTGCTAGGTCTGTTTTAAATTAAGTTTGAAACATATCAAATATTTTGTCTTTAATCATAAAAATTGAATATTTATTTATATTAGGGTGCCACACCTGATCATAAAGATGAGACTTTAAATTAGTTCGGATGTTGTTCACTAAGGAATCATTGTTGAAGCGGAGGACTTGTTTTAAATAAAGCCAACGAGAAACACGACAATAAGAATTATATATAAACCAGGAATAAGTAATGATATAAAACATGACAGAGTATAAGAAAATATAGATCACGACATAAGGTAAACAAAAAACTACTATATTTTAAAACGTATAAAAGTATCGGGAGAAATCATACAAGTGTAGTTGTTGGATTTCGTCAGCTGAAAATACCTGAAGTTGAAGGACAAAAATGTACTGTGAAGGCAGGCAGTTTCATACAGTGTTAGTCTGAGGTATAAATGAGTTCAGTATGACGAGGTTATACAGAATGGAATGTTAAAACGAAATATCCTGAGCACTACAAAAAGTGAAGAATATTGGCAAACGGAACAAATTAATAAAAATATCACACTAGGAAGATTAATAAATGAAACGATGTCAAATAAGAAAATCCCAGTAGGTTATGCATATTGTATGAAAAATACAAACACTGCATTCTACATTAATCCTACAGTAATATTGTTTTCAGGGATTTAGTCATTATCCTCAAAGGTTGAAGTCATAGTACTCGGAGAATTAAGGCATTGTCCTCAAAATGTAAAATCATCGTACTCAAGGAATTAAATCTTCGTAGTCAGGGGTTAATATATTTTAGTTAGTAATATAGATCCGTCAGACCCTCCTATGGCGGTTACGGAGTCAGCTATGGACCCACCGTTTACGGACATGGAGTGGGCTACGGATATGGGCTAGGCCACGGTCATGGCATCGGATATACAACGTATAGCGTTGGCTACCCTAGCTATGGCTATGGTTATAGCGGCCACCGCATTGGCAAGCGTGAGGCCAATCCCGAGCCCAGCTATCACGGAGGCTATGGAGGCTACGGTCACGGCGGCTATGGAGGCTACGGTCACGGCTACGGAGGCTATGGACTCGGCATTGGAGGTTTTGGAGGTCACGGACTTGGCTATGGTGGATATGGCGGCTATGGAGGTTACGGTCTTAGCTATGGGGGCTACGGAGGCTACGGCCACCATTACGGTTAAAGCCACTTCGTAGGCAGCTAAAGCCATCTATCTTTCTCAGGCCTCAAATACATAAAAAAAAAATTTGGAAGAAAATTCATGATATTCATTGCAATCTCTAAATTTTTGTCCAGTAATAAAAATTTATGGTGTGTAAATATGTACTTTGAATGAACCTTTGTAAAATCCAACTTCAACTTTATTTTCATGTTAGTTATAAAAGCAACAATGAGTCTATCAGTCAAACCAAGAATATATTGGTACCAAACTATATTCTTTGGTGTGTAGCTGAGTATTATGTGATTTGTTTATCTATGATATTAATATGATGTTTAAAATGTTTACCAGATATTTTATGAGTGAAGGGAAAGAACGTTGAACTTTTTAAGGAAAATGACTTTTTCCAAACGCGTCATTAAATATTGGTTCAATTTTTCGTTGTACACAATTGAATTACGTATTTTTGGGCTTATTTTCCGTGCAGTATAGGAATGGTATATATTTTTTTGTTAATTTCCGTTGGCAACTCTTTCATGTAAAGTATCAGTCTGTGATAAAGAAAAAAACATATTTTCAATTTCACAAATATGGGAACTTAGGAACTATAATGTTCTCTTAAATCACATTTGCCAAAGATAAATACGGATGCGCTAATTCCTCCCTTTTCCGTGATCTTGAAGCGTTATTTGCCTTCTTATTGCTCGCTCGACCACTAAATATGTAACACATACAGTAGAAATAATCTTGAAATCTTTTGTTCTTGCCAAGACGAGTGCCATTTTGTTTCTTATATACTGTACAATACCCTTGACTTAAATATCGAGTTAAATATCTCGGACATCAGGATCCAGATTTTTAGTTTCGTAAGGTGAATATTTTCCATGCCTGAAGATGCAAGCACGCAAATAACTGGTTGAATTAAGCTCGAGCAGAAAATCATGTCACAAAAATGTTTCAGCCTCACGCTTGTGGATGGCGTGTCCACTATACCGATAACTTCCGCTGGAATATGCGTAGCCGTAACCATGTCCGTAAGGCGTGGGTCCATAGCTGTAGCCGCCGTAGGAGGGTTCAGCCTCACGCTTATGTTGCTCTGCTGCCACGAAGGCAGCCAACAAGACGATGATCTGAGGAGGAAGCGTACAACATTTAGTCTTGCTTAAAACATAGTAAAAAGCCAACAAATATTGGATGCAATAACGAGGTGTATCTATCTTAAATTCTTACTGTGAATGTGCTAACCTACAATACGTGCTAAACGACCTTAGTTGTTAAGGAACACTAATGCATTTTAACATCAATGTCATCCTCTGAGTGACTTTTTTTTCTATTTTTACTTTCCTTGATTTTCTATTTGTTGTACTTCTTCTCAATAATAACTTTCGTTTTGCTTCTTCTCAATTATTACTTTGTAACTATAGTTGAAACAAATTTTGATCACGACCTTCAGCACATATCAATATTTATAATTATAATCCACCTATATTATTTATAAATACTAATAGACATCACTAGTTAGTAATTAGTTATGTACTCAAAATATTTTTGCAGTTGTTGCTTATGGAGTCGTGCTCTCACGAAGTGTCCTGTTCACTGCCCAATAGATTATTTACTCGAGTGTGTGTGTATATATATATATATATATATATATATATATATATATATATATATATATATATATATATATATATATATATATATATATAGTTTTTTTTTTTTTCATAAAATTCTGTTAACAGTCCAAGCAGACCAAGTATTGTGTGAAATTATTATAACTTGACATAGAAAGGTCAATTCCCATTTTTATAAAAATGTATAGTTCACTCGACAACAGGAACATCCCTGTTATACACATTGCTTTCTCCTGAGCGAGTTGAGCTGATGGTTAGAGAGTTAGGGAAGAGACATTCTTTTTTGTAAAGCCTTGGAGGTGAGAGATTCAGCACTCGCCAGAGCCCTCATAGCGGTGGTTGTAGCTCAGTTGGTGGACTAGCACTGGCTGGTGTGTGAACCTTGCAGCCTCCTGTATTTATAGCGCTGTTACGAGTTGGGGATTTAGAATATAGTTAAAAGTCTACCCAGATCCCAACTGGCAACAACAATAAAAAACAAAGACAATCGGACTATAAAAGGGTAGACAAAGGATGCGAGTTTTTGGTGTGTATAATAAAGTACCATAAATTCCTTAACAAAATATTCAGCTTTCTATAATTTAACCATACTTAACCTAAACATACGCAACATTGGCTTAACAGTATATACATATTTACACAACATACAACAATCTGAAGCAAGGTGGAGGTGGGGAGGCAATATAAGATTACAAAATACTCAAGTGCAGTGCTGAGATGGCTGACGAGTAAGGTTGAATATTGAAGAAGATGGTAGGTAGTCACTGTGCCGTAGGTTTCCAGGATAGGTGATCCTATTGTGGTCACTTCCCAGAGTGAACTGAACTTTCCTCGATCTGGAGCTGATGAGGAAGACTTGGAGGAGGTGACGCAACAACCAGGATATGGAGAAGGGAATCCCCGGAGTGGTAACTAAGACTAGTCATACTCGGGTTTCGTCCCTAGATGGCGTTGCTCATGGTGCTGGGTAGATAGATCAGGACAATAGATGGCGTGGTTCGTAACAAGCGCCCACACTAAAGACTTCA